AAACATTAAAAATCGTTCAGATCCCAAACTTTTGACCAGTAGTGTATATATATAGGCTTAGGCAATATATATATACCATTTTATTATTATTTATTTTATTAACTGAATGTGAATCAATCAGTTACTAATTCATAAATTTTCCCCACTGGTCATAAATGGTTGCATTATGTTCATGTGGTTTATGTGAATAAGAACAGTCTGCATTTTCATTTACTTTTAACTCTTTTACCCTTCAAGCTCAAAAGTACATTTTGGTCACAAATTTTACTGGTAATGTTTAAGCAGCAAAATGCCCAGGCTCAGTAAGTCTGCCCTACGTTGCATAGTTAGTTTCTACTATTGACATATACGTCTGTTCTGGGATCCACCAATAATCCATCTCCTTTTTTTCTCCCACCGCCACGCCCCTAACATCCGCCAGGGTGCGTGCCCTCACCTGCCTATGATTCCTCGGTTACCGGCTAAATTTGTCAACAGAAGTCACTCCCATGCCTCGTGGGACTATCAGGCAATCTGAATCCACTAGGAAGGAATTCATAAGCAGAAGACACGCGCTGTTTATTCAGACTGTTTTAGAGCTCTTAAAGGTCGCTGGTTTAGAAGTACAAACCTTCTGGATTGATTATGCATTCTGTTAAAACCCTACGGGCGTCCAGAGCTGGCATTCTGCTCATTAGAAACGCTAGAAAATGGGAGAGAGCTGCGGGAAATTTGGACAGAAGACGCTCACCTGCTCGGCCGTTGTACACGAGCGCAACTCCAGGCCAGCATCCGCGCCATCAGCACGTGATCACAGAGACGGACGCCGGGGCGTACAGGTAAATCCTCAGAGAAGGCGTTACCTGCTGGCTCTGTTGCCATAGAGATAATATAACGGCATTTTTAAAAAATGGTTTTAGAGGGGTTAATATCTTTATCAAATCAATTGTTTTGGGTAAAACGTTGTTTTCTGTATTGTTCTGTGTTTTGAACAGTAAGAAGATGGTTTCTGGGTTGGAGGACCTGTTGTTCTACACTATCACCCAGGGAGAAGAGAACATCTCAGTGGGACGTTTCCTGGCTGTGAGTTGCACTAATAGTCACAGAGTGCTGATGACATTGTGCATGTGTTTGTGATTTGGTCAGCATGTAGTGTAGTGACTATTTGTCAGAGGGAAAGGGAATAAAATACATGCTATAAACATCATGTACCCACATGCTTTCCATTTAGTATAATTAAAATAAGACACCATTATTCTTACATAAGTTATAATCATAAATCGTTGGTGTTATATAATGGTACTATAAATAGACTTCATTTTTGGGCCAAGTGGCTAGCTCCATTAAAGAACCTAATAAATATACCTATTCCTAAACATGTGGATCCATATTTGGATGTTTGAGTTTATATTACAGGGAGGAATACATAAAATTATGGACTGTTTTAATCAGGGTAACACATTAATCTCTGTATTTCCAGACATAGTATACTGCACCTTCTGTCTGTGTGTGTGTGTGTGTGTGCTTCAGTACACATGACACCCAGAAATAGACACCCATTAAAGTGTTAAGAGGTCTGTTGCTATAATTTATGTGCATGGGGTTATTTTGTCTATATATGATGGTCATCTCCACCATAGCTGCAATTTAACAGCTCAAATGATATATATCATTGACCAAGGAAAACATGTTCCTACCAAATGATTGATGGTTAACTCTTTCATTTGACTAGTGTAAACACTGTTGTATTGTGCCATAAGAACTTCATATTTCTAGCCTTTGATTAACGACATCCATATGTTACAATTATTGTAAATATATAGGGCACAGGCAATAATTCTTCATTTCTTTATTTTACTATACCTTACAACTGTATATCACAGTGCTAGTAGTTCATCCCTAAATTTGTGCTAAAATTTTCAAACAATAATTGTTCACTGAACAATTCAACAATTCATCATTTAATTGTTCCAATACTGAAATACAGTATCTCACAGAAGTAAGTACACCCCTCACATTTTTGTAAATATTTTATTATATCTTTTCATGTGACAACACTGAAGAAATGACACTTTGCTAAAATGTAAAGTAGTGAGTGTACAGCTTGTATAACAGTGTCAATTTGCTGTCCCCTCAAAATAACTCAACACACAGCCATTAATGTCTAAACCGCTGGCCACAAAAGTGAGTACACCCCTAAGTGAAAATGTCCAAATTGGGCCCAAAGTGTCAATATTTTGTGTGGCCACCATTATTTTCCAGCACTGCCTTAACCCTCTTGGGCATGGAGTTCACCAGAGCTTCACAGGTTGCCACTGGAGTCCTCTTCCACTCCTCCATGACGACATCACGGAGATGGTGGATGTTAGAGACCTTGAGATGCTCAATAGGGTTTAGGTCTGGCATGAAAAGATATAATAAAATATTTACAAACATGTGAGGGGTGTACTTACTTCTGTGAGATACTGTATGTGTTCTTGTATTTCTTAGGCACTCAGAAGCACAGGCTTGCTGACCTCTGACCCCCGTTTGAAAGACTGCATGCGGCAGATCCACCAAGCTGTCCAAGAGTCTGTTGGAACAGCAATGATGGACCAGGAACTGTTCAGAAAGTAAGTGTAAAACTGACGCAGCAATTCAAAGCTTGAGAGAGTATGTGTTTGTGTGAGATTTTTGTGATATGCCATGACATCACTTATCGTTTATGACCTGCAGCTGTTATGATATATACACACACTCATGCCCCTTACAGGTAAATGATATCTCAATGTTCTTGGAAGACTGGAAATACAAACAGTCAGTTCATCATGCACACATACACACATATCATCACATACAAATTCCTGACCTGACTTTCTGTTCTCCAACAGAGGTAAATACAACAAGCCACCTGTTGTGTTGTATGTTTGTGTACATGCGTTCTGCTGGAGCATGTGTGGCTGGAGCTAAGCCATGTTAAGCAGCGATAAACGTGTTTGTTACTCGTGTGAGGCACCGCTTAAGTTGCTTTTGAACCAGCTCTGTCGGTGTTAATAAACATGGAACAAATATCATGTTCGGCCATGTACAACTCTCTTAGCACATTACCGATCACAGGTGGCTGTTAAGTCACAGTTGTGTCACATGGGCATATGTGTGTTTCTGTTTCTAGATGTGTTGGCAGTAACATAGTCCTCCTGTCTCAAGCTTTCCAAAGGAAGTTCATCATTCCAGAATTCGAAGCCTTTACATCCCTCATAAACCATCTGTATTATAACACACAGGCTCAGAAAGGAGGGAAAGTAAGACATTGATTTTCCTTATCACTGTTTCTGAATCACAATTACAAACACATTTGTCAACATCTCATCTCTGTATTTGTCTATGTGCGTGTTTGCGCAGGTAGCAAACTACATCCCTCAGTTAGCTAAGTTCAGTCCGGACCTGTGGGGAGTTTCTCTGTGCACAGTGGATGGTCAAAGGTAAAATATGCTTTCTTTTGACTGTCTTTACTCACATCATTGTGATGAGAGAAGGGTCCAGAATTAACTTTTTGGTCCACCTGTACATACATGTATAATTGTGGTTGAAATTACAATTTTTTTTTACCATAAAAACATTACCGTTGAAAATGTTGGGGTCAGTTAGTTTTTTTTAATGTAAATATCATCAAGGATGCATTAAATTAATCAAAAGTGACAGTGAAATATATATAATATATAATGTAATATTTAATGATACATAAATGTCTGTTTCTGTTGTTTTTTTTTTTTACTTTGAATTCATCAAAAAACATCATTATGAGAATATGAAAATTCCACAAAAATATTAAGCAGCACAACCAGTTTCAGTGTTGGTAATAATAATAATTTTTACTTTAGCACCAAATTAGCATATTAGAATGATTTCTGAAGGATCATGTGACACTGAAGGCAACAGTTATTTAAAATTGTTTCACAATATTACTGTTTACTGTATATTTGATCAAGAGAGACTTCTTTCAAAAATCTTATCAGCCACAAACTTTTGAATGATGTATTAAAACAATATTTTACAATATTTTTCTCATTATAAATATTTATATATATAATATTTATATTTAAATAATTATTATTAATATTTAATTATTATAGTTATTTTAATGATGTCTTTCTGTCTCAACAACAAAATAATAATTTTTTTCTTTGCATATTTTTGCATATTTTGAGTGTAGGTCATTAGTTGTAATGTATTCGAGTCTTTGGCAGTCTTTAAATCATGGATATCACTTACATCAAATTTATCATATTATATCAATTATTTAGTTCAAATTAATGTTTTATTCACCCGCCTAACCCAAATTTCATTCGCATGTGATGTTTTCTGATTTTTCTGGACCCTGAATGATAATTTAGTTTTTCTTTTGCTTTTCCCTCTCACTCATTGTATGTTAAATTTGTTCTCTTTCTCTTTACATAGGCATGCTATAGGAGACACCAATATGCCATTCTGTCTGCAGTCATGTGTGAAGCCTCTGGAGTATGCGCTGGCTGTGCACGAGGCTGGCACTGAACATGTGCACAGATATGTGGGGAAAGAACCCAGTGGCCTCAAATTCAACAAACTCTATTTAGATGAAGAGGGTGAGAATCCATCACAATCTGTTTTATTTCTATTGTAGATGCTGTCTACAATAGAAATAAGTGGTCTTGAATAGTATTTGGACACTTAAAACGACACATATATGTCAGTATACTTATGTTTTATAATCTTTCTCTTATTTGCCCTGGACGTAACTGCAAAGGTTCAAACCAATGGCATGACTCAAAATTAGCGACATCACAGGCTCATAGCATTCTATGAACATGAAGTCCGGGTATAAGAGGAAGCTGTAAAACAGTTGTCAGTTGTCCTTTCAGTATGAATCTTGTCAATGGATTTCCTCACCTCTGAGGAACATTGCATCTGCAGTCTGTACTGAATCTGATACGGAATCATTCCCAGTCAGCACGATGCCCCTTTGACACTTTGAGTTTTGACAATTTGTAAACTTTTTTTGTTTTGTTTCCCAGATAAACCTCATAATCCCATGGTAAATGCAGGAGCCATTGTAATCAGCTCTCTTCTAAAGGTAATTTTTATTTAGGTTTAAGGTTTATTTTATTTTATTTTTGTCCCAGCCTTTACAGGGACACAAGCCTTGAATAGTTACTTTAAATTCAGCAGCAATGCTGTGTTGCATGTTATTGATTTCAGAAATGATTGCTATGATAGACAAAGTGCTTTTAATTGGACACAATTATATTTCTGTCCTTTTGACCTGGTTTTAAATAGCTGACAAGGTGTGTGTTTGTGTGTAATGGGGGGAGTGGGTGGTCCTTTTAGAAATGGCAAAATAAGAGCAGTTAGTGGTCAAGAGGTGTGTCTAAACAGCCAATCAGAGAATGTGCTGAGAAATACGCCTTTCAGCGTGTTTAAAAAGACTGCAAAGGAAGATTAAAAGTTTTCAGTGGTTTAAATGAACTGATATAAAAACAGTACCTAACTGCATGTATAATTAAGGGACTCCCCACTTTTATTTCAAGTTCAAAAGTGTTCGTGTTTCTAGTTTGACCTATGTCCTTAAATATGTTACACAACATCACTGAGCACAGACACACAGGAATACTTTTTAAGATGAAGACATCTCACAGCTGTGATCGCATTGCACTGACCTTTGCACATGGAACTCACTTTTGGACCTTGTGGAACTGGTCATCTTAACATCACACCTTAGGACATATGAAACTCAATACCATTTAGGGACCAGCGGTTCATGTCGAATCATTTGGCTTTATATTCGTCCTTCATGTTCTGTCATTTAACTTCATGTTTACTGCAACTGTGCAATGAAAAACATGACTGATCATGATCATGTCCACATTTGCAAAATCTTTTCTTTGACAATACGATTTATTCTCATTTAAGATGCTAATTATGGTTTCACGTGCATAACACATTCTACAAACTCATAACCTTTTATAGATTTCTATGTATTTTTATAGGATAAGACAGTTATGATTTCATATCATACCACCATTTTCTGTGCTGTCCATTACTGCACACGTTTGTGCACACTGCCACCATGTGTCTAAATACTGCACTGTTTTACTGTTTGCAGAGGGATCTTTGGATCAGTTCCAAAGTAAACTGTGTCACTGGAATCGCTGTTAGCTATTTTTTTGCTTGCAAACAGAACTAATTTTATTTATATGGAGTTCATTTTTAGCACATTTGACTAAATGTGAAAAACTACAGTGGACGTTGTGAATGTTGAATGTGTTTAACATCTGACTCTTTCCTTCTGGATCTTTTTGACTGTAGAGCTGTTCAATTTGTTGCCTTAAAAAGGATTAGCATTAGCCGTGGGTTAGCCCTCAGAAATTTCTAATGGGGTTTTGACAGACTACATATACCACAAGGATGTAACTTGTTAGCAACTTACATTTTAAAGCATCTCACATCTGAGGTATAATTGTGTGTAATTTATATTGTTAAACAATATTTGGAAGTCCTTTTAAGTAATTTTAAGTACAGACCTTAATTTACTCATAAACCAGTGAATTAGCCTTTCAGTTGAATTAGCCTTCCAGGTTAGTTTTATTGGATTGACTTCCCTTGTGAAAAGTGTGGCAAAGCAAATAAAATGCAAAACTGTATTACTTCTGAAAAAGTTTTTGGTTTTATCTTTTCCCAGAAAAGTAATAATTTTGATATATGTTGTGGAAAAGCTGTTATTTAGCAAAAAAACTGACAAAATATATTTTTTTCAACTGAGAAATAAACGCCCAATGTAACATATATGTAACATTAAAAATGTATCATAAACGCCAAATGTCATATATATGTCACATTACAGATCTTTCACAAGGAGGGGTTGTATTTCAGAAACAACTGCAGAAACATGTTATAAGTGGTCCATTTGGTCTGTTTTATATGCCCCATAATTTTCCTATGAGGAGAAATTGGTCCGGGTTCTTATGGGTTAAATTGAATGTGTGAAACTGTATTTACAGATAGTATAATATTAATGAAATAAAAGGCCACTTAAGTGTGCATAAAGAGAGTACACTTTCATGACTGTTTCTTAGCACAGTTAAGTACACTTAAAATGTGCACTTTGTAATAATGCCAAATTAAACGTTACACTTTAAAGTACATTTTGAATCATATTTTAATAATCTATGTTGGTGCTTTAAATAAGTAAAAAAAAAAAAATTGATGTGTTGACTAACATACTAGTACTTGATTAGATTTTCCATTTGAAGTTGATATATTTTAAATGCACTAAATTGCAACTTTATCAAGTTTCATTAGAAATAACATTCAAATATATTTTAATTTACCATTAAACTTTTTATCAGCAATGAAGTGTCTGAAAACATTACATTCTGTTCAGTTTTAAACTATGGTAAAGTGTACTTTTTTTCACAAGTGTATTGGTGATTTTTCTGTCGTCTTCTCTCACGTTCTCCATTTTGGTCTCTATTACAGCCTGGTTCCAACAAGGCAGAGAAGTTTGACTTTGTGAGTACATAGCAACATCTCCACCATGTGAACTATCCCAGGTGTTTGCTGTTATCTCGCTTGTTATAAATATTGATTTCTGTTTGTGGGTCAGATGATGGATTATCTGAAGAGAATGGCTGGTAGAGAATATGTTGCGTTCAGTAATGCGACGTGAGTTTTAAATATAACCTCATTATTTATATCAAATTACACTCTTTTAGAGGTGAACCTAAAATTTGGTTTCTAATATGTACTGATATTTAAATATTTAAAGTTTCCAGTCAGAGAGAGAGACCGGTGACAGGAACTATGCAATTGGCTATTATCTCAAAGAGAAAAAAGTGAGTGTCATTTTCATAAGCATATTGACAGGATTTTTATTGCTTTCTAACCTACTACTCTGCATTTTTTCCTGTAGTGTTTTCCCAGTGGAGTTGACATGACGGCAGCCCTTGACTTCTACTTTCAGGTAAATCAGCTGTCATTCTGACACATAATTGTCTTTAATAACAGTACTTGCTATTATCGGTCATACTAAATCACTACAATTTTCTCTTTAATGTCTTTATGTCTTTCTCTCATTTCCAGCTGTGTTCTATTGAGGTGACATGTGAGTCTGGAAGCGTCATGGCAGCCACTTTAGCTAATGGAGGCATCTGTCCAATCACAGGCGAGCGTGTGCTCAGTGCCGAGGCCGTCCGGAACACTCTCAGTCTCATGCACTCCTGTGGCATGTACGACTTCTCCGGCCAGTTTGCCTTTCACGTGAGTCACACACACACACAGCCGGCTGATTGCTTGCTGAATTCCTCAGTGTGGTAAAGTACACAGACATAGAGGACTTTACAGCTAGATGAAACTATTTCAGTCATTTGCTTTAAACCTCAGCTAATTGCTTAAATAAAATCACTGTTATTGTTTGTGTTTCTCTTCCTCAGGTGGGTTTGCCTGCTAAATCTGGGGTGTCTGGTGCCGTGCTGCTCGTGGTTCCTAATATCATGGGGGTCATGTGCTGGTCTCCAGCTCTTGACCGTGTTGGCAATAGCATCCGAGGCATCTACTTCTGCCAGGTACCTTTTCATGAGCTTTGCTTTTGTCTCTCTTTCTATTTCTTCATTTTTCTCCGAGACCATTAACTGAATTTGTTTCTCTTTTAGGAGCTAGTCTCCCTCTTTAACTTCCACAACTATGACAACCTGAGACACTTTGCGAAGAAGTTAGACCCTCGCAGACAGACAGGCCACGAGAGGGTGAGACCACAGACCACATTTTCAATTTCACACAATGCTAACAAAGTAAAGCTAAAAGATAAGAGCTAGCTCAGAGTTGTGATCGATCATTATATTTATATTACAGAACAAGTCTGTGGTGGACCTGATGTTTGCTGCTTACAGTGGCGATGTTTCAGCTCTCAGAAGGTAAAAATGTTCTCTTTTTATTGCAAAAAAAAAATACATGCAAACATTTTCATGAGAATGGTCATGAGCAACAGTAAGATATTAATTTGTTTCACAGAATCGCTCTCTCTGCTGTTAATATGGAGTTGACTGACTATGACACCCGTACCGCCCTACATGTGGCCTCAGCAGAAGGTAATAAGACCATTTGTTTTGTTTATTGGTGTAATTACACTACTGTTTAAATGTTTAGGGTCAGAGATTAATACTTTTTTTACTTGGCAAGGATGTATTAAATTGATCAAAAGTGAGAGTAAAGACATTTATATTGTTACAAAAGATTTCTATTTTAATTAAATGCTGTTCTTTTGACCTTTTTATTCACTGAAGAATCCTGAAAAAACGATTTCCAGTTTCCACAAAAATAGAATAATAGAGTAATAGCTTTTGAAAATTTAGCTTTGCCATCACAGGAATAAAATACATTTTAAAATATATTAAAATACAAAAGTGTTATTTTAAATTGTTATAATGTTTCACAATATTCCACTTTTGGAATTAACAAGTCATTTATTAATAGGTCTCTAAAACTACTCTGATTTCAGGGCACTTGGATACAGTCAAGTTTTTAACACATACCTGCAAAGTCAACCCCAATGCAAAGGACAGGTACGGCAGAACTCCCCTCTGTTGCACTTTTTCTGTTTTTGTTTCCTTTATTAAAATGCATCTGTTCTTCAGATGGGGGAACACACCTCTTGATGACGCTATGCAGTTTGGGCACAACGCCGTGGTCAAGGTACTACAAGAGTACCAGAGCATTTACACACACACACTAATGCCAGAGGAGCTCAGCGCAGACACGTGTCCCGATTCCACCATGGACGCAGAGGAACTGAAGAGCATGGAGACTCTGGAGGGTTTAGTATGAGCAAGAACTGCCATGAACATCCCAAACTTCAGTCTCTCATGACTTCTGGGAAGCATGTGGGTGTGAGATTTATGACAAAGCCTGTGTAAGGACATGCTGAGCAGGTGCGCGCAGGTGTTATAGAGATAGTGCTTCAAACCAAAGCTCTGCTGTATGTAGACCTCAGCTAGCTTCTGTTGATGGTTTAAGATGGTCATTACTGTAGTCTCTCAGACCTCCATCAGTCTACTGTGGGATTATGAAACTACCAGGTTCTTCCAAGTATTTTCTGGTACAGCTCCTCAAGGACAGTTTGGTTTGTGATTGGACCAATTTAGAAATGCAGAAGCTTCCTTTCCCTTCACGTCTATCACTGCAGAAGTATTTTTACATAAAAGCACTTAACTTAGCCAGTAACCTTAGTAACTAGGAGCCAGATTCACAAAACTTTCTTTAGATTAAAATTCTTCTTAACTGCTATTTTCTTCTTCATAACTGACTGTATTCTGTATTCCCAAAATACTTAAGAAAATAGATTCTTAAGCATTCTTAAGACAAAACATAAGTATTCAAATTCTTGAGAAGAATGTTTTTTAAATTCTTAAATCCCTAAAGGTGAGATGTTTAATTAATTTTTGGGGTTGTTTCACATAATAAGCATTTTGAAAATGTAGCTTTGCCATTACAGGAATAAATTACATTTTAAGATATATTAAAATACAAAACAGTTATTTTAAATTGTTATAAGATTACATATAATACATATTACGACTGGAATATTTTACTTTCATTAAAAATGATTGTGAATGGCTTACTATCTAAAATGTTAATAGATGGATAAATGCATATTAAGATATACCATAATAAAAAGATATACCATTGAAATTGTTGTATTATATAAGGCAACCACGAGCAAACTAGTATACAATTATAAAATATAAAAGACTGACATTTTAAGAAATATTGCTCTTGAAGATGTTCTTAAGAAAATATTTGAGAACTATTCAAAAATTGAAAAAAGTTAAATATATATATATATATATATATATATATATATATTCAAAAATAATCTAAACCTGTCGGAATTTATCTTCAGAACTTTCTTGACTTCTTTCATAGGAAGATTTTTGTGACTTTGCCTCTAGTTTACGAAGTACAAAGCTAATGTAAATTTAGCAGGCTATCTATCAAGAAAAGCATGCATGCACATTAAAAAGTAGTTTATTTATGAAGTTACCATACTAGAAATGTCATCATGTCATATTACCTTAAGGAGGTTAGCAAACCAGTACTCTTCATAAAGCTTTCCATGTCATTTAGGTTATTAATAATCTTCAGCTAAACATTATGAGCGCGTATTGTTTGAATTTCTTAAGATTGTTAAGACATTTTTATGGTACTACATAATTTAAAAGACTTAAAAGACATGTAGGGCACAAAAGCTTTAACTGAACCTGCTTGGCAAGCATCTGGTGTGTATTTTGCCAATTTTGCCAG